CATTAGTTCTTTATTCAAATATTACAAAAATTACAAATAGATCATTCATGATGTTCAATATACACAAAGAATATGTATAATGATATATTTGTGATCATATTAGATAATTGTACGTAGAAAAAAAATACACATAATTTTTGAATAAACTTAGTTCATTTATAAGCTGGATATGGAGAACTCTTAGTATATTAAGTTTAATGAATCTATTACAAGAGTGTTACACTAAATCCGCGATACTTAGCCCGCGACCAATCAAAGGACGTCTTTATTCATTCCAAAACGTCAATATATGACTCTTTCTTGTCGATCAAACATACATTGACAACTTCAGATCAGGAGGTACAAATATTCGTATTGCGTCTACACTTTTATTATATTTTGGCGCCTTTCACAAAGTTATTTTGATCGGCCGACCAAGATCCTCATACTAACACATTCAACTCGACAACATTCTTCTATTGCTCTCTTTCTGTCTCTCTAAAAAAATAAAAAATTAAACGTCATTAACTAAACTAAATAAAATACAATCTTCATTAATTATGAAAATAATATTATAGATCTTAAAAAATACGAATAACTCTTATAAGTGATTCTTTGAATGTTCTTCATAATCTTCCCAAGTATTCGCAATCTCATGTATTTTCATTTTTTGAATGGATTACGATCATCAACTTAGCTCCTTTAGTAGGAATTACTTAGTTCCCATACTATCCAAATTTGTATACACTTCCGGTGTATTTGTTTGAGAATTTGGATTTTGAATTTGAATAATAAAATTTTTTAATTATAACAGTTATATGATATAATATAAATAGGTATTGATGTGGTATTTTGAATGTAAAATTGATGTTTAGTATAATATAAAAAAAAATAGATATTTGATTTGATATTCGTTAGGGGAAAAATTTCGATGAATAATACAAATCCTCAAAAATTCTACCAAACAATGTCCAACACGATTCCAATGTTGTTACTTGTTACATCGCTCGTCCATCACATGCTCTAATCACCGACAATTTATGCAAATTTAATTCAGAAAAAAGACTATATACATATATATATATATTCAAATTTATCATCGCATGTATTACATAAAATATTTTATAAAAAAACCTATAATTTATTTTTTTTATTTAATACGATTTTCGATTTTATTTATTTTTTTAAAATTCTCCAAAATATATCTAAACAAACCCTAAATCCCACGACGTAAATTAAACTTAATTCGAGTTAGTATTATTTTATAAATTTTTATATCAAAGTTAAGTTCTAACTACTCGACTCATTTATCGGTCATCGACATTACAACTACTCTTCGATCTTCTTTCTTCTTCGATTTTTTTTCTTTCTATTTATTTATTTATTTATGAATAATTAATTTTAAGTCGTATACTGAGGACATCGACTTTTCCATCGCACCGCAAAATTTACATCAGAAACAGATTTGTAACAAGAAGTATTGAATGACAAAAGGACAGTTGAATTTATAATTTGGCAGAACTAATTCAATATATATTAATTGTTCTTCGACTCAAATTTATTATAGCATCGCATCATTCTCTGCACAAGCATTCATTTCTCTTTCTGGTTTGAATAATTTCTTCTTACACCATTACTGATGTCATACCTATATTTCAAGTCCAACTTATTTTTAGCTAGCTGGAGTATTACATATGTATGAGGATTTATTTCTTTTTTAAAGAAAAAAAAATTGTATGATGAAGAGGTACATTTAATATTTTTTCAATCATATATTGAGAATTTTTATTTTTTGTTTAGAAAATAAATTGTATAATATTCATATAGTTTATTAAAAACTAATATTTCTTCGGTTGAAATTTAATAAATCACATCTCAAATACTAGAACTTTTTTTTATCTGTTAAATTTTATCTAATGGGAATTATGTATATAGTTTTAAAAAATATATGTATGTTAAGACGTAATTTTTAAACCATAAGAGAATAGAAATTTTTCTAATAAAGTACGAGTGTAATGGAATTAATTTCTTTTTTCTTTTAATTACAAAGATCTCGGTTATATTTAAACGTGTATGTGTGTGCGCCGCGTGTAATGTTGAAAAAAAAGACAATTTAAAAAGTACCAAGTATAAATTATAATTACGCAACTCATTAAAACTAGCCGGTTCTACTATAACATGGGAGCATACTTACGATATAATATTACCCGCACAACAAATATATATGTTATGTTCTTTCGGAGTTCTATTTTAATTTATTTTTACTAGATAACTATCGCGATTTCCTCAATGACTTTAATTGCTATATAGATACATATATCTTTCTAAATAAATGTTTCGAAATAGTAAGCCCGATCTTCATTACAAAAATAATTTCTATGATATTCTTAAATTTTTCTTCAATAATAACTTTATAATCGATCTTTATCTTATGCATTGCGTTTTGTATGGAACACGATCATCAACTTAATTCCTTTCATAGGAAGTACTTAACTCCATATGATCCAAATTTTCGCACAATCTATTTTCCACACGATATTCAAACTTATAGTGCGCTTATTCATGTTTCGATGCAAATTTGTAAATAAAAACTAAAATTTGAATATGAGACTTTAAGTAAAAGAATATTTAACCATAGGTTGTATTTATAGTAAAAAAATAAGATTAAAAATACATTTTTAAGACTTGAGTTTCACTCAAAAAAATAAGTTGAATACCGTAAATTCTAGAATTTCATTTTTTTTTTTTTTTGAATTTGAATATCAAAATTAATTTCTAACCGCTCAACTCTTCTGTCGTCAGTATAATGACTATTTTTCAAAATTTTTAAGTCAAATATTTAAGACGTTACAGTATCATGACACTGCAAAAAATTTACGACCCCAAAACAGATTCGTAACAATAAATTGATTGACAAAAAGACAGTTGAATTTTTATTTTGGCCTACCTAATTCAATTTTATTGTTACTGAAGTATTTTGTTTTTATAGGCACCGTTCTATGCATTTGCATTCACTTCTCTCTTTCTGGTAATTTCAATATTTTCTTCTTACACCATCACTGATGTCATACCGATTTTTTAAGTCCAACTTATTTATAACCATCGTTACAGCTCTTACATATGAGAATTTATTTCTTGTTTAAAAACAATAAATTTATTTTTCATATTAAATTCCGAATAACGATCTACCTTAATGAGTGTATGCGCGTTTGTTAGTGAGTTTGGGAGTTGAATTTAAACTTTTGAATAATAAAATTCTGAATCGAAATAGTTTTTAAATTTAATAAAATATAAATCTGTGTAAATGTGATATTTTGAATAAAATTAATTTTAATGTAATATAAACGATAAAAAAATAGATATTTTAATTTATACTTTTCGGACGAAAAAAAAAATAATGATTAGTAAAATTCGGACTGTAAATTCTATATATGTGTGTATGCTTTCGGTGAAGAGTTACACATTTTTCGACTATGAATTGAGTATTCTTTAAACATTTGTGGGAAGACATATATATATATATATATATATATATATATTTGTCACCGTTCTTTTTTGGATTTTTTTTTTTTTTACATTTCATAATTTTCTATTACAAATTAATATTGTTTCTTATAAATTATCAAATCAAAATAATATTAAAATACAAAATACAAATATATATATCATGTAACCAAACATATTGAAAAATTGTTTAGTATTGGTTTAAAATTGATTTGAAATAGAAGGTTAATTTGAATTTTTATTTAAATAAGTATTTTAATGTCGTGAGAGAAAATAATGTATTTTTATTGATGCATAATATTGATTTGAATTTAAAATAATAATAAAAAAAACTCAAATTTGTAAAATATTTACAATTTTTATTCCATATTTGTATTGTATTTGTGTTTTCAAATTTGCTTTCAAATAAAACAATCTATACTAAATTAATTTTTTAAAAAATATATATTGTACTCAATACCTAAGGTATATTTATATACATATTGTTGAAATTTTTAATACTATTTATTAATAGTAATTTAAAAAAAATTATATCAAATATATTTTTTCGCCTCACAAAACTTACATCAAATATCAATTTTTTTTTACCATTCCTAATTTTTTTCAAAATTCAAAAACTTTTTATGTAAATAGAAATATTTTTGTTTTGTCAAAAATTTTCAACATATTTTCCCCCAAAAATTAATATTTTACATACATTCATTACTTTTATATTACTTACACAATTTTCTATATCTCACGTAAAAAAAGATTTCATTCAAACCAAAACACAAAACAAACACACCCGGTGTATATCTAAAATGTAATATTAAAGAAAAAATGTAATATTAAAGACATTTCACCTCGAAATAACGTAGAACTTCAAAACACACAATCTAAAAACCATAGAAGAATTCACACACACACATATATATATTTATATATATATATATATATGTTATTATGAGAATGTATATAGGATCATGATGATCGAACACAGTATTCACAAATTTAGGAGACGTGAAATTCACGAAAATTATGATATGAAAAATTAATTTCAATTTCATCTCTTACATTAACCCCCCACTGTCACCCATTAATGTCCAAACGGTTGAAAATATAAAAATAAAAAAGTAAAATAAAAAAAAATAAAAATAAAAAAGAGAGAGAGAAAGAAAAGAAAGCCGATAAAGCAAAACCCCAATGCAAAATTCGCAAAAAATAATAAATAAAAAGTAGCCATGAGATTTTCACATACACATCTAGAGTGAGAAAAGGGTTAGAGAGAGAGAGTTAAAAAAAAAAAAAAACTACTATAAGCAAAGGCTGACTTTTTTTATATTTTATTTTTTTTTATTAAAATTTCTTTTTCTTGCAAAAGCAAAATCCCGAGTAAATGCCGTTTGGTGTCCGGTTTTGACTCTTTCTGACGCTGCAATAGTCAGCTTCAACAGCAACCTTTTCTTTCTCTCTCCTCTCTCTCTCTATATAAACCCTCACGAACCTCTCTCTCTCTACATTTTTCTCTCTCCCAAAAAAAAACAATGGGAAGGTCTCCTTGCTGCGACAAGCTCGGGATGAAGAAAGGGCCATGGACTCCTGAAGAAGACATCATTCTTGTTTCTTACATTCAGCAACATGGCCCTGGAAATTGGAGGGCTGTTCCTACAAACACTGGTAAAAAAATATATAAAAAAAAAAGAAGAAAATATATAAATTACAATAATTATAATCATAATTGTAATAATTTTGATTTTTATTAAGATTGTATTAAGGTTGGAGGTGTTAATGGTGTTTTGGTGGAATCCATGAAGAAAATGGTTTTTGCAGGCGGTTCGAATTCCATTTATTTAATTATTATTATTATTTTTTTTTATGGGGTTTTGGAGTGGTGGTTGGGGTGTAATAAATTTGATGTTTTGAGGGCACCGACTGAGATGGAGGAATTGGATTTATGGCTGTGATTTGTTTTTCGATTCTTGAACATGTTTTCCTGACCGTCGGACCTTTGATATATATATATATTTTTCAGGGCTGATGAGGTGCAGCAAGAGCTGCCGTCTCCGGTGGACTAACTATCTCCGGCCGGGGATCAAACGTGGAAATTTTACTGAGGATGAAGAAAGGATGATCATCCATCTCCAAGCTCTTCTTGGCAACAGGTCTGTCTGTAAATTTATGAATTAGGGTTTTGTTTTTTTGAGGAATTAGGGCTTCTGTGTTCTTGGATTTGATTGGGGAATTGGAGATTGATTTGGAAAATTTTTGTCTGGAATTGAGGTTTTTGGATGATTTTACGATCTTGATTATGCTAAACACGTCTGAATTGAGGTGTTTGTGTTCGTAGCCATGGCTGGATGTCTGTAATCAAATTAGGGTTCCATCTCCAAATTAGGGCTTTTGTGTTCTTGGCTTTGATTGGGAAATTTGGGGATTTATTTAGAAATTCATGTCTGGAATTGAGGATTTGGACGATTTTACGATGTTAATTGTTGCTAAACATTTCTGAATTTGAGATTTTTGTGAATTTTTTTTTTTTTTTGTTTTTGTTTTGAAGGTGGGCTGCCATAGCTTCTTACCTTCCTCAGAGGACTGACAACGACATCAAGAACTACTGGAACACTCACCTGAGGAAGAAGGTGCCCAACGGCGGCGACAGGGCGGTTTCCGACGGCGGCGGCGGCGGTAAATCGGCGTCGAAGGGGCAGTGGGAGAGGAAGCTCCAGACGGACATAAACATGGCGAGACAGGCTTTATGCGAGGCACTGTCACTGGACAAGTCCGGTCCTAATTCCGGCCTGTTTTCTGTCTCCGGCGCCGGCCATCTTTCTGCTGTGGCTGCACCGATTCTGGCGCCGGCGCCGGCGCCGTCGACGACCTCGACGACGTCGTACGCTTCGAGCGCTGAGAACATCGCGCGACTGCTGGAGAATTGGGCGAAGAAAACTCCGAATTCGCCGGTGGAGAGCAGCCAGGGAAGCTCTCTGAACAGCTGTCTGAATTCTTCCATTAATTCTGAGGTGTCTTTTGGTGGTAAGGAGAGTAATGGGAATCTGGTGGGGTCTGGAGCTGAGAACGTCTTGGGGAAGACGACGGCTGTTGGTGGCGCTGCGGCGGCAGCGGCGGCGGCGGCGGCGGTTCTGGATGAGACCGAAATGCCCCTGAGCCTGCTGGAGAAATGGCTGTTTGAGGAGGGGAATGGGCAGGGGCAAGATGGGGATTTCATGGACCTGGAATTGGGCACTGCTGATTTGTTCTAAAGAAAGTTTGGGGTTTCTTGAGAACAACTGGGCAGTGTTGCAATTAGTATTTTTATTTTATTTTTTATTTGGGGTGGGGAAATTATAGGTATAATTAAAAAAAAAATAATGTTCCTTGTATGGGAAATTAGAAGATGTAATTAATTTTATTACTGGGAATTAATTATGTCGGGGATTTGGGGAATAATTTGGACTTGCATTGAGTGATTGTACCTTGTGCATCGTTTGGTGTACCTTGGGAATTTAGGGTTTAATTTTTTTAATTATATGATGCATTGACTTCTTATTATTATTATTATTATTATTATTATTATTATTATTACTCCCTCTGTCCCCGATACCATGTCCATGTTGCCGTTTCTGTCCGTCTTACATACCATGTCACTTCTTTTTTTTTTTTTTAAATGATTACACACTTTAATGTCATTTTAAATTTTTTAATTTTATTTTTTTAATTTTAATTAAACTAATTAGTTATCTTAATCTTAATTTATAATTATTTATATTATAGGATAATTATTTTCATTAATATATTCTTAATTATCTACTGATTACACCCCTCCTAAAATACTGACACAGTATCTGGACCGAGGGAGTATTATTTTTGTTATTTTTTGGGGTCGTTTAGTAGAATTTGTATAAGCTAATTAAATATTTAGACAGAAATTAGTCACGTTGACTTTGACTTAGACGTGTTAGTACGAGTTGAAACTGAAGATTGTAAGTCAAATGCTGTAGTATTTAGGTAGAGTCTACAGGTTACATTAATATATATATAAATAAAAATAATATAAGAAATAATTATTCAATTACTTTATTCTTCGAAAATATTCCAATTAGATAATAGTTTTTAAATTTTTTTATATAATGTGACATTTTATTTAAAAGTAATAATTTAATATTATTTTTTTAGAAAAATACTGTTAAATTAATATTATACAAAATTTAAGAATATATATGTATATAAAATATACATATTTGTTTATAAGTGTTATATATTAGTAAAATAAATACTCCCTCCGTCCGAAGGGTGTCGTTTGATTTTTGTACGTAAATTTTTTAATATTAGTATTATACTGGATTATAGTAAAGAACAAAAATATCCTTATTAGTGCGGTGTAATATAAAAGTAATAGTATTTGTGTAATATACTGTAAGTTGAAAGAGTTTTTATTATACAATTACTAAATTAGAAAATAGTAATCTTGTTTTAGGACGGATGAAAATGAAAAATTGTAACATTTCAATGGAACGGAAGGAGTATAATATTTTCTCATAATGAAAATGAAAGATTGAAAAATAAAAGTTCGATAAAACGTGGTATTTGTTTTGTTTTGTTTTAAAGTATGTATGTTTCTTTACCCCAAATTTCTCAAATTTTACTATTTGCACTCTGTGTTTTCTGAAAAAAATACACATTTTTTTCTCACAAAACATTCTATCAAATATTATTTTAATACTAAACTCAAACCAAAATTATTTCGGAGTGAACAACTGCAAATTTTTGATATAATATTTTAAACAAAATTAAATAAAATAAAAATTATTTTTTTTAAAAAAAAAAGAAAAAAGACTTCCTTAATATCCACGTAAGATGTAATTTCAAAAACACCATTTTATAAGAACGTTGGTGTCAACGGGGTTGACATATCTGTCTTTTAAGGATAATTATTATTAGTTGCATCGGGAAACTAATCCTTAATTCAATGCTTCCGTTAAAGAAGATGTTTGACTTTAAGGGGTTGACAATGGGAAAAGTTATTTTCTTGTGGGTCCAGAATTCAACAATAAATTACTTCATCCGTGCCACATAATTTATTTTTATTTTCTATTTTCGTCCGTCCCACATAACTTGTCCTTTCAATTTTTGGAAATATAATTATACATTTTAATCGCATTTTAAATTTTAAATTTTATAATTTTCTTAATTTTAATTAAACTATTTACTTATCTTAATCTTAATCTATAATTATTTTTACTAAATAATAATTATTTTTACTAATACACTTCTTAATTACTTACTAATTATACTTTATCTAAATTTTCGTGTCTACGGTAATACACTCATATTACATGGGACGGAGGAAGTAAAATAAAACTGTTTATTTAAAATCACAAAATATTGGGTAATAGAAAAAATAAAGTAGGATATAAAAGTAATGATATTTGTGTAATATATTATAAATTATAAGGGTATTTGTAATGTTAGATAGATAGTACAGTTACTAAAAAAAAATGAAATGAATATTTTATTATATGACGAATCAAAATAAAAAAATTAATAAATTATTAGGGGACAGAGGGAATATATGTCAAAGTTGAGTCGTCGAATCAAATCAAAATTTACTATATAAGAAGATAAGTCACAGTTGAGTTGTTGAATCGAACTTTCCTATTTAAAAAGATATGTTGAGTCGAGTCGAGTCGAATTGAAAGAATCAATTTTTTTTTTAATTTAAGCCAAGTTCTAGCAGGATAGAATTTCCTAAAATTTATGAAATGTGCCTTTGAAACTTCGGATTTTTTTAAAAATATTACATAGATTCATTTAAAATAAATATAAAATAAATTTTCTTAAAAAAACCAAATAAATATTTAATACTTCCTCCATCCCATAACAAAGTATTTATTTTTTTATTTTAGTTCGTCTTATAACAAAATATTTATTTCATTTTTCAATAATTGTACTATCTAACTAACATTACAAATACCCTTACAACTTACAATATATTACACAAATGTCATTACATTTATCTCACACATACTAATAAGGCTATTTTAGTCGTTTCTACTTTATTCCTACTATATCCAAATATAATATTAATATTTCTAAAACTACATGTAAAAAATAAATGAATATTTACTTATGGAAAGAAACGAAAGAAGTATAATACTTTTAAAATAAAATTAAACAAAAGCTTCAATTGCATTTTGAATGCCATATATAATTTAGTAATTATACGATAGAATAATGGGTATATATATATATATATTAGTAATAGGTATGTTTATATATTAATTATTTTATTTTATTTTTGCTGTATTATACTCAATTCATTTCATTTCAATAAATGAGATTTGATTAGTAATACAATATTTAAAGTAATATAACCTAGAGTTAATGATAATAAATTATAGTAATACATTATTGTATTAATTTTTATGTGATTGTTGTTTGCAATATTTTTAAAATAAGATAATATTATTAAAAAATTAAAATATATATTTAAATATTTTTAAATTATATCTGAAGAAATTATATACAATATGTATATTATTTTGTTAAAAATTAAAATTTTATATACTATAATTAAATAAAAATATTTATTTATTTGTATTAACATAAATTATTTTATAAAATATTGAAAATTTTTAAATGTAAATAAAAAATTATTTTATTATTGAGTAGAGAGATAGAAAGATTTTTTTTTTTTATACGAACCCTACATAGTATAATATATGTTATGAAATTACTTAAGTTTGCGGATTTTCACATTATCAAAAAAAAAAAAAAAATTACTTAAGTTAATTAAATTAATTTATATTTTTTAAATATATTAATTTACGAAAAATATAAACATATCAATTCAAGTGTGACAAACTAAAAAGAAAATATGTGAATTGATTTGGGGTGGGGGAGAGAGTATATATTATTTACAATAAAAATATTATTTCTTTAAAAAAGTTATGGTTGTAATTTTACTTTGTCCGTTCTAATTAAATGTATTAATTTTATTATTTTCGTTATCTTACTCACAAGTATTTCTTTTTTTTAATAAAAAATATACTAATATCAAAATATTATTAATTTTTAAAAATTAAATATATATAATAAAAAGTATATACATATAGTTTTTATTTTTTAATCTTTTTAAGAATATTAAAGAAAGTCTAGTATATTAATGATTAGTAAAAGTGTAATATAATTCTGTCATATTTTTATCTTTGAAAGTAAAAAAAGGTAAAAAAATGAATATATATTTTTCTAAAAATTAAAAATATTTTGATATTTATATATGATTATTTTTATTATAATTAGAAATGAACACTTTAAATAAAACAAACTAAGATGATAAAAATAATACATTGTGTGACGGATGAAATATATATATATTTTTAGTATGTTTGACTATATAACACAATGCAAAATACTTTCATACTTATATTTATTTATATCAATATTATTTTGCATATAAATAGTAACACTAATTATTATTGAAAAGTAAATATTAACTTTGCAATAGTTTGCGGAGAGTACTAATTTGTATATTTTCATAATAATTAGCTGAATTTCTTTTTTTATTTTTTTTAAGTTTTATTATTTGAATCCTATTCATAAAATATATATATTACATAAAATATTATTTTAATATCAAAATCAAATAATTTTTTTTTTTTTATCAAAATCACCAAAAGAAACAAAAAATAAAATAGCCCAATATCCAAGAAAGGGCTACGGACAATTGGGCCAGAAAAAATTAAAAGAGGAAAATTGCATCTTATTGAAAATATTTGTGGATAATTATAGATTGATTGATTAATTAGTTTTATTTGATTACCTCTTTAAATAAAATAATGATCGAATGTGTTATTTTGCATCGAGAAATAAATATATTTTTATTGAAATTATAAAATTGAATAGTAAAAAAATAAAAATGTATGGCATTAGTCTTTTGTTTACTTTGTGATTTTTTTTTCCAATTCTTTTACTAATATCATCTTTACAAAAGTGACTTTTTTTTTAGTATCAAATATTTTTTTATGACAAAAAAAACTATAAATTTGGGGGCCTTCCGAAGACATTGCTAAATTAGAATTGGCTTTCAGTTATTCGGGCAAGTCAGAAAGTTGATACTTCGGATTCTTCAACCAATTTTAATCAACCAATTTTAATAAACTTTCGACTTTTTTCTTTTTTTTTGGATGATGTGGGAACCAGTGCGCACACGATAAACCCCCGGTCGAATCTAATACTCTGCAAATCAGGCCCGACAAAAAAGTCATACTACATGAACCATGTGTGGCAGATGACCTCAGGCGTCGGGGGTTTTGAACCCAATTTTAACAAACTTTCGACTTTGATCTCACAAATAATGGATTAAATATATCAAATAAAGAAAATTTAAGAAGAATAAAGTACAAAATAACTGATGGAATTCGATAAATTTCTTAATTTAAATAAATAAATTACAAAAAATTGAAATTAGCAATATAAATACAAAAAAATAAAAATAAAATGAGAATGAATATAAAAATAAAAAA